TTTTTTTTTTTTTTTTTTTCTATTTACATAGCAGGCTCGCTCTAGTTGAAAATTTAATTACAAAGAATAAATAAGCACTTTTTTTGGGTTTCTTTTTCAGTTTTCCATTCTTAATTTTGCTAGTAATCATAATCAACAAGCTGTATTCCCAGTTTTGGACATGTGGGTTTACGTGAAATTGTGCTAATCTACAGTGGGTTTAGTTTAGATTTTCAGACAAGGCGGCTACATCAGATGGTTGTAGGAAGGATTTTGGTTTGAAGGTGCAGAGTGCAGAATAATTCCCTTCCAAGATTATCATGACGAGTAAGCTTAATCAAGAAAATCATGGCCGTCAATTCGATTATGGTAGTGGGTCCCTCTGTAACCACGGCGAAGGTTACGAGATTGGGGGCAATATATACGAGGATGATGTTCGTAGTAGTAGTGGCGGTGGTTCACTAGTTGTTAAAACTTTGCAGCTTTTTGACATTTTTCCTTCTTCAACCGCCTTGAAATCCCCAGGTAAAATTGTTCTTTATTTTTCATTTTTTCTCTGTGTTAAAGTTACAGAGGAATGAGTTTATTAAACTATGAGAAAGAGAAAGGTCACTGAAAATGCTATTTTGTCTTGTGATATGTAGGGGGGATGGAGGCAAATGTCGGGTTTCCTTTTACATCAGATCAATGGAAGGAGCTTGAGAGACAAGCTATGATCTATAAGTACATGCTGGCCTCTGTTCCTGTGCCTCCTGAACTTCTTTTTCCCATTTCCAGCAATTCTCCTGCAGTTGCACCAGACCCTTATGCTCCATGTAAGGCTATACCCCTACGGCCTACCCCCTCTACATCCCATTTTTGATGGGTTTTTGTGCTCATTTTTTCGAGTTTTCGTTTGTTTTGAGTTTTGATTTGTGGGTTTTCCTTAATTGGTACTAGGGGGTAATGAATGGTGGTGGAGTATTTAGCTTCACGTCCCACCTTTGATGGATATTTGGCTTACTTTGTGTTTTCCATTTGGTTTTATATTTCTTTTCTTGATTTTACTTGTGGGTTATTCGTGTTTGGTGATTGAGTGTAGAGATGAGTGAATGGTGGGGGAATATTTAAATTTCACATAACATCTTTAATGGGCTTTTTTTGCTCTATTTTTGTATGTTCATTTGATTTCAGCTTTCTTTTCTTGATTTGATTTATGGGGGTGTTCTTGTTTGGTTCTTAGGGGATGAGTGAATGGTGGTGGAATGTTTAAACTTCCCATCTTTGATGAGTCAGTTTATCTGTTACTGCGTTTTCATATGTTTTGAGTTTTCTATATTTCCTTGTTTGGTGATTTGGGGGCAGTGAATGGTGGAGGCATGTTTAACCTGAGAAATTCGAAACATGGAGATCCCGAGCCAGGAAGGTGCAAGAGAACTGATGGCAAGAAATGGAGGTGCTCGAAAGAAGTGGCTCCGAACCAGAAATATTGTGAGCGCCACCTGCACAGGGGCCGTCCCCGTTCAAGAAAGCCTGTGGAAGTAAAAAACAATGCCTCTATATGCACCAATATGCAAGCCACCAGTGCTGCCTCAGACCAGATTCTTGCATCAAATGATAACCCTCTGCTGTATTATCCCAAAACTGATCTAAATATTTCTACAGCCTCTTACAAGGAACCTAACAGGTTGGTTTTTGAATGGCAACTAGCTTGTGTTAAATCATCAGTATCATTTGATACGCTCGACTGGAGAGGACTCCACTATCAAATGAACAAGAATTTAATTTGTTTTTCTTCTGTCCAGAACTATTCAGTCTTCCATACGTATGCGCCATTTTCAATCTTCCATACAAAATGTGTGATTTATTGAGTTGTGTTCTGTGTTAAAAATTCACTTGTTAAGAGGATCACTCCTAAGTCTTACATGCTGATTACATTTTCATCTTTGAAGTAGTGTCTGATTTACCCTTACTATGCTCCTACAAGATGATGGCTTGATTTAGTCTTGAAATTGAGCTTTTTGGGCTCAATACCAATTACCAAGTCTTGGATTCCATCGTAAAAGCTTAATCTTGCTGCTGCTTAGTGTAGCCCAAACCTTTATACGTGGATTGTTATTTTCATCTTTAAGCGATGTGCTATTTTACATTAACACCATTTGTGCATATCTTGTACAAAGTATTATTATCTACTTGAGCGTAGAATGAAAATGGGGTTTTAATCTTTTTCTTAATGGAACATGCCGTTATAATGTACAACTGTTTGCTTGTTCATTGATTTTGGCCTATGCATTGAAGGGATTTGGACTTAATGATAGAAGCTGAGATGGTTGCAATGCGTGTGGCTAATCCACAATGGCAGCATTTGATGTACACCGATAGAGCAAATGAGGGCTCGGTTTACAACACTAATGCATCTGTATTTCATCAAGATTATGTAGAAAATCAATTGTTGAACGTGTTCTCCTACACAGATTACCCGGCCCCTGATCATGTTGTTCATCAAAGTAGCAGTGATCAGAGTTACATGGGATCATTTCTCAACCCTGGTTTGGTGTCTTTGGAAAAACACTCACATATTGAGGCCCCAAGGGGATTTATTGATGCATGGTCATATAACAATGGTAATACCGTGTCCTCTGTATCATCAGATCAAGGGAATTTTCCCCCTTCCTCACTCACTTTAACAATGGCAATGGCTGCTGGAAATATCTTAGATGAACAAATGGAAAAGATCGAAACTGGGAGTGTAGGAGACTATGATGACCATAAATGTGAAGATTCAAGTTGGCTGGGCCCCGTTTCTTCGATGCCTTTTTCACAAGGAGGGCCGTTAGCCGAGGCATTACGACCCAAATCAACCACTCTAAAAGGCTCGAATTCAGCTTCTCCATATTGTTCAATCAGCTCCCCGGCAACTACAGTTTCATCACCATCCGGGGTTCTTCACCGGTCATTGTTTTCACATTCTGATGGCAGTGGTTGCAAAAGTCCGACTCTTGCAGCTCCAACAGGATTATCAGAAGCTGTTGCATTTCAATTGCTGAATTAGACTTGTGAGTTCTTGAAGTTGATTCCTGAATTTGGTTGTTTTGTGTTGGTGCAATTTTCTCTATGATGTTATGTTTCTTGTTTACTTTGTATGAGCATTTCTAATAGGAACTTCTACAATTTTATATAGCAGCAGGACGAATGCTTGGTTTATAAAGGGTTCTTGCAAGTTCAATATCTCTGTGATTGAATTCTCTCAGTCAATTTCTATAGATGTTTGAATTTCAGTGTTTTACACACTTCAAATACTTGATTTATGTTTGATAAGATTAGTGCTCGTTTGGTAAAGATTAAAATTCAATTAAAATTGAAAATATATTCGTTATTGGGTCCTACTCATTTAATAAAAGTCAACAATAACGGTCAGTTTTTCAATTTTAATCCGATTTTAGTCTTTACCGAACACGTCCCAATACCGTAATCAGTTTGTGTTTCATTTTATTGGATGAGGAGCTTCTTGTCCAATCGTCACATCTAAAATCTCAGGCTATTAGTTTTCAGTATGCTCTCCTATGTGCAACGTAGATTCGTTTTTATCATTAAAGGTCTGATAAGTTGACAATTTCCATGCATCTGTGATGACGAGATTTCAACTCAAGCCCACACCCACTTGAAAGCCGAAAATCTGAAAATTTGCAAAATCTCTAGTTTAAATCATATGATGTCATCAGGGCGGACCCTGTGCAGGCGAATTTTGGGCCACCCCCACAGCCAATGTGAAAAAAAAAAAAATTGAAATGGGCCAAATAATTGGCCCAATCTTATATAACAAACCTTTCCCAAAAGAGAAAATTACCTAAGGGAAAATAAGGTCCTATACCTTTTTTTTAAAAGTGTTTTGATTAATATCCTTAAACTAATTAAACATTTTAAGGTGTTAAATACGTCCTAAACCACCTAATTAACTCCAACCAAAACCCAACCTAATTAACTACAACAAGTCCAAACCATGTAGTCCCTCTTCCTCAGAAATGTTTCATCTCCCATTCGTAGCCCCAAATCTCCAAAGGCGTAGTTAAGAGCAAAATCCGAGCAAATGCAACTGTAAATCTCCCAATCCAGAGGTCTCATAGCCGCATTTTTCTTTGCACTCGTCCGTCACTATTTGCTTATGTCTACACTCTGTGCTGCAGAATGCTTGTTCTTCCCTACAAATCATGGATCAATATTATCTTCAAGAATCTTTCTTGGTCTATAAAATGAGTTTTGCACAAAAAAATTGCACTTGAATTTTACCTGTCATGCATATGTCCTTTCCATGGAGTTTTTTGTTACACAATTGGAGTGAACTGAGAAAATCCGAATCCAGAAAACCCATTACATCTCCAGATTTTGCGATCAAAGATAGGGTTGGATTTGCTCGAATTCCAGCTACACACAGTCTTGTTGGCCGAAATTTCACCGAATACAAACTCTCCAGATTTCACCAATATCATAATTCTTTAGCCCTCTTGGGGAGTGAATCTTGGCATCAATAACACTTGTTAGACTAGTGGCAAAATCCTCTACGACTCTACCCCTGCCCTANCGCTGCAACTACATATAAATGTTTGGGACTTCGGCAGCAAAAATAAAAGGTTTGGGACTACGGCCGAAATTTTCCCTTTATTCAATTATATAAGTGACCTTTATACACGTAGGGTTTCAATTAAGTTTCTCGTCGCCTTCGCCTCCATCGGAATTTGTATGGAAGGCGAGGCATCTCTGCTCAACGATGTATTTGTTTTGCGTTGTTGGAGAAAGTTGGGCTACTGGCATCTTTTTAAAGGTTAAATCTTTTCTAGATTTAGTTGTTTGGTCTCTGACTTTGTTTTTCTTCAAGATTTAGCACTTGTCTGGTCTTTGACTTCCCTTTGTTTCCCTTACAGACACACTCATGTATGTATGTATACACAAACTTGTCCCCCGGGACAAAGCTTAGGGGTGCAAAGGATAAGAGTGATGTAGTCTCAGTTGAGCTGATATCCGTAACGTGAGGGTTCGATTCCTACCTCTTACAAGGTATGTAATTGGACTCTTTGTAGGTATCAGTATAACAGCTCTTGTACTCTGGTCTGCTGAGACACATCCCACGATTTACCTCCTCCACAATACTTTAGGAGCGGGACGGTGATGGACCCTCAAGGTTGAGGTTCAACCTTTTTTTTTTTATAGACAAACTTCTCTAGTTCAATTCATCCTAGGTTTCATTGCATGTAAATTAATTGAAGTTTTGGAATTTAAGCTTAATTAATTTGACTTCATCAGTCATAATAATTAGTTATAAAAGATGGGTGTATTCTATTTATTTTATTAGGATACTTAAAACCATTTATACTAAATGAATATAATTTAAATTCTAATTAAGTGAATCTGGATGCTAATTAGCATTCATTGACGTGAATGATGAACATATTATTGAATATGAAATTCTAATTAATATTAGTTAGATGAATATGAATGTTAATTAATTGAGAATTAATAATAGAGACATTGGCGTGAATGTGAATGTGAAATTGTAATTTATGTTAATTAAATGAATGTGAATATTAATTAATTGAGAATTAATAATAGGAAATGCATACATGAACATTGATTTTATAGAATTTATTATAGTGACCTTACTGAAATAATTGAAATGTATTAGTGCTACAAACGTTTAAAAAATGATTATCATTTGATGTGGTGTTTATATTGGTTATTAATTTGGGCTGGATCCATTTTTAAAATTGTTTCTTGTGCGAGAAAATTACCTGAAACCCTCCTTTTCAAGATTACAATTCAAAAATAAGGGACAAAGTTTTACAATTCAAAAATCAGGTGATAAATAGGATTATTAATTAATATTATAAAACTAAAAATTAATTTATATACACCCCACCCCACTCCACCCACACACCCAATTTTGAAATTCCTAAATTCACTTCTCTCTCTCTCTCTCTCTCTCTCTCTGCCCTCTTTGGTGCTGATGGCAGCGTAGAAGGGCGGCAGCTGCTTCAGGCACCGGTGGTAGGTGGCAAGAAGTTTCCTTCTCACAGGGCCGCCTAGGTAGCAACGGTGGAAGAACAGGATATACCGATACCACCTTCGTCCTCCTCAGCCTTCCGTATCCCACTTTGTCCACTCGTTGTAGCCTCCTCCTGCGCAACAGCAGGGGCTGGACTCAACGACAATTAATAACTTGTCAATTGTTTTGTACATGAGATTTTTTCAAGTGCTACCTCACTCACGACAAGGTTACCAGCGTCCTCTTCAAAGTCCTCTCAGCCTTTGCTTTCCGTAACATCAGCTTAACGAAGATAGAGTCCTCTAAGCCTGTGTATTTATGGTTGCATCACAATGGGACCTGAGAAGGCAATGTAGTCTGTAGGGCATATTCTTCTCTATTTGAGATTTTGAACTTTGAGAACATTGTAGCCGCAATCACCTCCGTGGTTTTTTTTTATCTAATTTGATGTTGTGTGATCACAGTTTGTGGTGATCATTTCTGATCAAATATGTGTTTATTGTGACTCGTTGTGACCAATTGTGATCGATTATGACTTCACATTCTGGAATTTTTTTGGAAGTTGGGAAATGGGTGGATGGGGTAGGGTGGGGTGGGTAGGTTGATCAGGGCATGCGTTGGATTGGTCATTGGAGCAGTTTGCCAAAAGGATCATGAATAGCCGCCAGAGAGATCGTCGGGGTGATCGTCGGAATAGTCACTGGAGCGGCCATCAGAACTGTCACCGGAGCGGTCGTCGGAGAGATCGTCGGAACTGTCGCTGGAGCAGCCGCCGAAGTGGATGGTCGCCTCCAATGGCGAGAAGGGGTAGAGAGAGAGAGAGAATGATTTGGATTTGAAATTTAATAAATTGGGATAATTGTATTATATTATAATTAAAAATATTTCATTAATTTATTTAACACCTGATTTTTGAAAATATTTTTGAAGTTTGTTATTTTAAAATGTAATTCTTATATATATGATTTATGTATTGTTCCCTTCCCAAAATCTGCCATGACTCAAGTTCTGGTCCTCGTCAGAGGGCATGAGTTCAAATCCCACGTCTGACATTTTTTTATAAATATTTTTTCAATAACCGTGTTGCTAACGCATAGATTTTTACAATATTTCAATCTGACAAAATAAAAAATAAAACATTCGTGCTCCAAAAAGCATAGATTTTCAAAATAACATGTGTGGACTTGGAAGGGGAATAGTAGGCCCATTTTCAGAAGATGGGCCTCTTTCTTGGTTGATTTAGTCCGTCAAATGCTCGATTTCGTATTGATTAACGGATCAACTTGACTCGCATGCACATCAAAATGGTGTTATTTTCTTCAATATACCTAGACATACGAGTAGCATAAAAAATGGCATTTTTTT